TATAAAAAAAAATAAAAAAAAATAAGAGGAAGGACAAACTCTCAAATTAAAAGTATCAAATGTTCAGCACAATGAATAGGAACAAACTTGCAGAAGCAATGGCCCACAATTCCCATTGAAAGTCAAAGTTCAAGACTTACTTAGTCCCCAGTCACAAAGTTATTTTACAAATCTTCCTACTTATTTTACTGCTTTCATACATGCTGAGTTCCTGTGAAAATATTGTTTAAATGGTCTTTGAATCATCTTCTATAATCTGTAAGCTGTAAAATAGAAAACTTTCAGACTGAAATTTTGAAAAGGCTGCTTTTACTATGCTTTTCAGTAGTAGTGGATGTCAGTATTCAACCTTGGCTTCCTCTAGCTGGCCAATGACAGCTTAGTTTCTTATCAGCTTTTCTATTTTTATAACTTATTGGATTTGGATGAGTATTTAAGATTACATGTGAATTTTTCCATTTACCTTGCATTCAAGAAACCAAGCAATTTTTGTTACCTGACTGGTTGTTTGGGATTTTCATTGAATCAGGCTTTTGGAAACCACAGCTCGTGTAAAGACTAAAGGATGGCATAAATCAAATAAGAAGTAGCATTAGAGATTTTGGAAAACTTAGTTTTAACTCCCAAATGCCTCTATCCAGTGGCTGTTGTCAGTGATTTTTCGTTGCTTGTTTGTTTGTTTAAGATTAGATTTAATTTTAGATTTGAGGCCCAGATCCAAATGGTGCCTCTCATAGCAGTCTCAAAACTTTCCATCTGAAGAGGATGGAAGTACAAAGATAACAAACTTCTGATGGTATTTGCTTGGGTTGCTCTTTACTCATCTGCTATTTGCCAGCTTTTACCAGAATTTACCACTGTTTAATTTCATTTAATGAGTAGTTTTAGTGAGGCCTGAAAGACAGAATTCAATCTGTATTCTCTTTGAAACTCAGTATTTAACATTGTTCCTTTCCCTTCCTTTACTTTCTATAGTGAATTATTTCAAGTACTTAATGACTGTATGAAAGTCTTTCCAAAGCTTTGATTATTCTCTGTACCTCATAAGTTTTGCAATAACCTTTCTTATATAAAGTGACCAGAACAGTGTTTCAGGTGCTACCTGAATCACTGATGTATTAAAGGATGTTCTTAAGTTTTGATATTATATTCTGTTCGTTCTTTGATCTTACTAATGTTTCCTAGATTTATATTTTCTTTATACTGTGGAGAAATATTTTCATTGAGCTATCCACTGTGGTACTTCTGTCCCTTTCTAATGTGATTTTTGTGACCAGAAAATTCTAAGCGGGGTAAAATGAATTTGATTTTTTCTTATTCTGCATTCCTGAACTTGCAGATTTCACTTCCATTATGTGGTCTTTCCCTGGAAAATGAAGATTCTATGATATCTAAACATTTCCCAAGATTGCAGAGATTACATCAAAACATTTGATGGAAACCAAATCTGGCAAGAAGGCTGGCCAGATTGCATAGTTTCTAGTCAGCAGTGGCTGTGAGAGTGCCAGGTTAGTGAGCTGCCATGTCACTCGTCCCAGACTGTTCAGGCTGTTTTGATCTTATCAACCTTTCCTTTGTGAGACTGGATGTTGCAGGTTTTGGTCTTCCAGGTCAGCTGTCCTAGTACTATCATGTGTTTTATATCACATATAATCCCATAGTTCTATGGATTATCTGCACAGTTTTTAAAAACAAGAACACAGTATTCATTATTTCCCAATCCTCTGAAACAGTGGCAGTTCAGTGCTGATGTTGAATGAATTCTGAAGTTACTCTGCCTATGTAGGAAGATGGTGAAGGGACATCTTCCAGTTACAGGGATAAAAAAGAGACTTGCATGAAGAGTTGGAAGGTGAGGGACTGCTGAAATTCTTGATATATATTTTTGGGGACAGGGCTCTGAAGCTGAGTAAAAGCTAAGAAAAGGTTTGCTTAGGAAGAATGCTGTGAGTAACATTTTTGAGCCCTGTGTGACTAGTAGACATGACCTTACATACTTGTTGGCTGAATGTTATGATGGGTTCCTTGGCTACTACAAAAGTATTTCATATCTTTCATTGTGTAAAAGGCTATGGTATTCCTGGAAAATCTCTGTTAAGGAGGAGGGCATGTCATCTATCAAAAATATAGACAAATGGGCCAGCTACTGATTTCTGATTTGCTAAGGTAGGAAGATATAGTGGAAATGTATTATTCCTAGCAGATTTATTAAAACATTCAAAATACTCAAATAATCCTTAGAGCCTTTTGATGCTTACCTTACTTGATTTCTAGAGCAGTAGAATTTACTTAGAATTTGTATTTTTCAAATGACTGGGATAATGTGCAAACTTAATTTTTCAGGCAAAATGCTGGGATTTTTAGTGCCACTTCAGTATCAGGAACTAAAACGTCAATTTTATGTAAGTGAATTCTTTTTGACCTTCCTTCTCCCTGTTTTGACTTCACACCAGATTTGTCAGATTACAAAATTCAGCATAGATATTGTGATAGCAACGTTGGTTAATATAATAAACAGGAAACATATTGAATATATTTAATTAGGGCACATTTCAAGGAAACCTCATAGAATCACTGCATAACCAGTGTGAGTTAGCCCCTTCCAGATAGACTCGGTTGAATGTAATTCACCACTGTCATATTTTTCACAATTGGTTTTCTAGGGTTTTGCCCTAAAAAGAGGAAAAAAAAAAAAAAAAACAAGCATAGAATCTATTATATTTTATACATGTATTACCTTGAAAATCAAGTATAACAGTTTAAATGTCAAATAGTTGTATGGCTAGGTCTTATTATCTTCCAGCCATCACATATTTTAATTGATTTGACTTTTTGGTGATAAATGCCTTGGGTTACGTATAGCACAAATCCTAACACAACATAATGCAATTTCATAAATGTAATTGCTTATTACACATGGCTGTGCATAGAAGAAACAGTAAAAGAATAAATGAAAAATATTTAAGTGAACAAATGTTATCAAAACATTATTTTGGCTGCTTCTGAAATATTGATTTATTTATTTTTCTTGCTGTATGTCCAGATCTGAACACTCAGAAAGCATCAGTCTCTATAGGAATGTATTAGGAACTGTGGGATAGAATTGATAAACAGCTTGCTTTCCACAGATTTAAGATCAATAGGGGGGATCTCAGGGAAGACGACTGTTGGCTGCTGGATAGGGTCTAAGGTGCTTTTCTGAGTGCCTGGGGCAAGGTTATCATATCTTAAAAGATATTTCTTACTGTGCATCATTGTTTTTATGAAGTCAGTATAAGGAGAGCAGTTAAAAAGCATCTGCTCTATTTAATGCAAATACATAATTTGTAGATCATATCACTTAAAAATCAGGTGAGTCATAAGGAACTAGCTTGAAAAAAACATTTATGTTACATATAACATAAGAATTTAAGATTTGTACTTCAGAATCCAAATTCCATCTGTATATCTGGATAGCTGCCCAGATGTGGCTACAAATGACTGAATTGGAAACCTTCATTTATTCCTAAAGCCCAAGCTATACAGATTAAACTATAATTCAAAATTTACTTCTCATTATGTTTTGATCCCTTTGTGACCTGGGTTTTCTAGTGTCAGGAGTTCACAAAATACACTGTTCCATACAGAGGAATGAGTGATCCCCTGCTTTCTAAATCTATGGTAACAGAGACCCTATAATAAACCAAACTGGTTTTGGTTACTATACTTCTAGTCTGATCTTCTCCCACCTAGTGCTGAGGAATCCTTCCTTCTGCTTTAAAGAGAATCTGGATACCAGGAGGTCAAAATAGGCTCCAGAAGTCATATAGAAGAGTGGAAGCTCCATGCAGAGAGCGCTGTCACTTAGATGAATCCCCATAACAGCCATGGCTTGCTATCAGTAGATTATTATGTGCAGAAGATGCATCAGCCCAATCTAGAGGAAACCCCAGTGAAACAAATAGCTGCTAAACTGTATCATCTTCCCCTCCACATTGTACTGTCAAGGAATTTTAATTATCTTTAATAGAAGGTCCAGTGATTTTGCTACGATCAGACAGATTTGAAAATACTGCTTATAACTTACAGTCTTTAGGTCAGCTCTGTGGTACATACTGTCACATGCAAGAACAGAAAATATCCTCTGCTACCCTTTTCTGAGAAGGGTGCTCTTGTACCTGGTTGACTTGTTTCATGAGTGGCACAGAACTCACTAGGGCACTCCACAGAGGCAGATTCTAGATGGGACAATTGACCACGACATCTGCTGAAGAGCCTGCTTTATAGACTGTTACACATCCTTGTGTCACTGGGCTCAGCACTGTAGCCATACATCTGGTGTGGTCAGTGTGCCCTTGTTTTGAAGAGTTCTGTGAGTGATTTGTAGTCTGTCACAGTGGCAAAAGGCTTTGAGAAGGGTAGGAAGGGAATTTTATTCCAAATGTAGTTGTCTTTCTGCCTGTAACTGTGGCTGAATTGGCATAGTGTCTGCTTTAGTGATCTGGAGAAATATCTGATGAACTGTTACCATGAATAATTAATTTCCACTTACATAAAAATGCACAAACAGGTGTTGAGAACTGTGTGAGGAGTGTTTTTCACATTCCTGAAAAGCTCTGTGCCTCACCCATTGCCACAGAACCCTGAAAGTGGGAAGGGACCTTCAGAGTCCAACGTCCTGCTCAAGGCAGGCAGCTCCAGGCTGTGTCCAGCCAGGCTGTGGGCATCTCTTGGATGGAAGCTGCACTGCCTTTCTGAGCAACTTGTCCCAGAGTTTGATCATGCTCAATGTGAAAATGCTTTCTAACCAAATAATATCTAATCAAAACTTCCTCTGTTGTAACTTGTGTGCATTGTTTCTCATTTTAGTATTGTGCTCTTCTGTGATCAGTTTGGTTCCATCTTTTCTTCATCCTCTCATTGGTTAGTTGAAGACAAAAATGAAATCTATCCCTGTCCTCTTCTTAAGGCTGAACAAACCCAGTTGTCTCACCTTGTCCTCACTGTGTTTCATGTTCCAGCCCCTAATCATCTTGATGGCCCTCTGCTGGACTCCCTCTGCTGGACTCATTCCTGTATAACAGCATCGTCTTTGCAGTGAGGAGCCCCAAACCGAACACAGTTCTCCAGATGCAGATTCATGAGCACTAAACAGAAGTAAATAGTTGCTTCCTTTGATCACCTGCCTAAAGTCCTGTTTATACATATGTTTATATATACATATATTTATATATATTTTATTATGTGGTTGTTCTTTCCTGCCACAGTGACATACTGCCAGCTCATGTTCAATTTGTAGTCTGCCAAATCCCCCAGGTCCTTTTCTGCAAATAGCTTTCTACTCCAGCTTTTCCCAGACTATCCTGTTGCATGGAATTATCCAGTCCTTGTTGTGGACTTTGCATTTGCCCTTGCTGATATTCCTGTCAGAGCATCACTCTTTTTATCAAGGTCCCTGAGAATGGCAGCCCTGCCTGTCGTTTGCCACGCGGAGTGCTCCCCCTGGCTGGTGTCATCCTTGAAACTGCTCAAGATGTATTCTGTCTCAGTGTCCAGGGGGTTATAAAGGCTTCAAGCAGTGTTAGGGCTGACCACTGAAGAGTGAGGCTAGAAACTAGCTGCTGGTTATCATCCCTCAAGAGCTGATGCTGTTGATGAAACTCCTGTACTAACAGCATGAGCAGCATGCCTATGGTTTTAGCAAGATCTGAAGATCCAGGTTTTGTTTATCTGAAGGATGAATCTGCTCATTTGATGTCCTTTAGCTCAGCTTTGTTTTTGCCAGTAGCAACGGAATTATGCATTTGGTGTTGAACAAAGTCCTGTTACCTCCAGTGTTTGAAATCTGTTCTCTGCATTGACAGAGATTTAGTATCATAGGTCAAAATGACAAAACAGTTGTCAGTTTGGACTCCAGCATGCAGGGTATCTTTTAACAAATTTTCACTGTCTGTGAGAAACTTGAGACAATATTCCATATGGCAGCCTAATACAGTGATACAGACTGGTTGCAAGTATTTGTAGCAGCACATTTTATGTTGTTTTTATTTTTATTTTTATCTAATTTTTCTGGCATTCTTGTAAGATGTCTAGCTTACTAACATGTTAAGGGTCACCTAATGGCTATTCATAGGACGTGTTAATTTCGCTATGGTTTACAATTCCTTCAGCATTCTTAACATTGCTTGTTAAGTCCTGCAGGGTATGTGATGTTCCTAAATAGTGATGATAGTGAAAACATGTTCACTTGCTTTTACCTGGTCTGGCTTCTTATACCTTGTATCTCCTGGAGCATAAGATGTCTCATATGTCATTTGACTCTGGATATAATGTAAGTCTCAGTTATAACAACTAGTTGTTATATCCTCTAAGGTCTCCAAACTTTCTTTAAAGAAAGCCAGGTGTGAAGTGATGAGTACTCCAGAATGGCTGTCAATTGCTGGGTCTTAATGGAATAATATCAGAAACAAGATCAGAAATACTTCATATTAGCTACAGCTTATTTCAACTAAGATAAGGCCTTGTTCTTGCAACCAATACTTTGTCTTGGTCCCTGAATTACTAAAAGTAGGGAAGAATAGGGTTTTAATGTTATAATTTTGTCTTTGTGCAGCTGATATAACATCAACTGCTAAAATAAGCTGACGTGCCGGTGTAACATTTTGCTGTCTTAGTGCTTGCTGTGATAGAGAGGGTAATTGCCCACATCTTCCCTATATTCTTTAGTAGACTCTCTTTTTCAAAGATACAAATATAGTGATTGCTTTTGATCCTTGCCTTTTTTTTTTTTGTTTTGTTTGTTTGCTAATCATCTGATCTTGAGATACTTAAATCATGGGAGCATTTTAATATATATTGTTAAAGAAAATGACCTGTTTAGACTTGTTCCACCTAGCTTCCCATTTTGTTTAAGTGAGTTTGACTATTTGAATTGTAAGAGCAGATCTAGTATTTTTTTCACTGCTATTTCCATTGCTCTTGTTAATTCTACTGCTTTGGGCCATGTTAAATTCGCTTTGCCAGAAATCATCTTTGAAATCTCTCATTATTAACAGAGCATTCATTCTCTCTGTATGTCCTTTAGGACATTTCTAAATAGGCAATATTCCATTAGTGTTTTAGGCTGTCACATACACAGTTATAGTATCATACAACTATAATATCATTTTGCCTCTTCCTATCATGAAATATTTTACAATGATGTTGGTTTTGATATGTATTACTCTTTTGCAATCCCTTGCAGATCTTCTGAAGTTTTATCTCCTAGTTTCTGATATGGCTACAAACTGCTTAAGACAGGGTAAGTTTTACTACTTTATACATTTTAGAAAATTGATTTATTTGTTCTCTGTAATTTTATATGTGGGAAAACATTGTCCCAGAGTTTCAATATATTGCTGCCAATCCTAATTTTTGACATTTAACTATTCATTTTTCCTAGAAACTGCACTTCTTCTACTTTTTGTTACCATTTGTATTTAAGAACCATTTGGTTTTAAAAAGCAACCTGTACTTAAATTGATGAAAATAAATTCCTGCTCTATTTCAGCAACATAAAAAATACAGTAGGGGAAAAACTATCTGTAATTAAATAGCAAACACAGGTGGAAAGGGGAATGGCTCCCTTACGTTGGGTTCTTTGTTCGTTTCCAGAGACATTATCTGTTAACCCTGTGGAATATTTTGCCCTGGGTGCGATAGGGCAGTCAGCTGGTGTGCCTTTAGTAGGGGTATACTTAAAATAATTTGTGTAATGACCATTTTCCATCTCCAACTGCAATTTGAAGGAGTCAGCATATAATTAGTTTTTTTTTTTATATATATATATATATATTTTTTTTAAATTATTGCTCTTGTAGATCCTTTGTTGAAGCAATTAATGTTTTGGTACTATATATGCTTTTTTATGTTTATTTATTTATTTATTTATTTTTGTGACCTGAGCTATAAACTTGTCATGCAAGGCTAATATATGCATTTATTTTCTCCATGGAAAAAGTAATTCAGATAGATTTCATCTTTTCTGGAGCATTCTCATGTTTTCTTTTCATTCAGTGTGCAACATATTAGCTTGCTTGGAGCTATGAATGTCCATAGTTTTATTTTATAGGACAATAGCAAGCAGGAGCTGTGAAATGTGCTGCCTTTAGGTCTGCCAACTGGTAGGCTCTAGAGCAGATAAACAATTAACAAAGCCCTCAGTCTGGTTACTAAATGCAGTCCTTCAAATGACAACAGCTGAGACTCAGATAGGACAATTGGTAGGCAGCAGCTCTACAAAGGGTGCCAAAAGGAACTTTTTGCAATCTAAACCAAATAGGCTATCCAAGGTAAGAACCATACTTTGCGTGCAAAATTTGGTATATTATTTATTTGTTCATAGAAAATTGTCAATAGAATAATTGCTTGCAGTAGGGGAGTGATTTCTGAGTCTATCCAGATTACCATCTTTGAATCTGTAATGTGAGACTGAGATGTGCACTCTGACCAGGCAAATTTCCTGACCTGTCACTTCTCCAACCAAATGAAGTGTTGAGCTTGAGGCACAGCAAGGGCTGGAGACACCCCTCAGCTCACAGTTGCCACCAAGACCAATGCCAGCTCTAGGGTTTCTTTCAAACATTGTTCCAATGTAATCAATTACTGGAATCTTACATGACTGATAAAGCACAAACATAAGCCTCTGAGTCCTGTGTTCAACTCCACTGGAGATCTCAGCTAACTTGTTTCGCTCTCCATCAAAAAACTGAGGCAGAGGAAACTTCTCTTGCAGATGGGTACCAATCCTACTGGAGAGCTGAATCCCACTAATGCTGGCAGCATCTTTTCTTTCCTTTCTTTAGAGGTGGTTTATACTAACCCCTTTGAAAGTTGGTTGTCCATTATTAACATTCTCCTGGCTCACAGTTCCTCTGCTGTCCCACTCTCTGCATCTTCTCATTTGCTTTTTTATTACTAATCAATAAGTAGGAGCATTTTAACTATTGCAAGTTCACCTGGATTTATCTGAGAACTTCTTTACTCTTTCCACAGTCAGCTTACAGACATGACTCTTGAAAGGAATTTCTGGAAAGAAGGTCCTCAAACTTTGTAAAATGTAATTTCAAATGTTATGAGGGGTTACCCTAGCACTTTTGCTTCTGACTTTTTTTTGTTTGTTTGTTTTAATATTAATTTCCACTATTGCTATATGTCACTACTTTTATTTGCACTAGGAGTAAGGAGAAAAAAGTTTGCAAAAATAATGGGAATTGAAGAATGCTTTCAGATCTGCTAGATATAACCTTTCTGGAACTCCAGAGAAGTACCAAAAAAACTTGTACCTTTGTTACAAGGTAGAAACATACCTGAAGGGGAAAGCTATCTCAGTATTTGTCTGAGATTTTTTTCAAAAGGACCTAATATAGTTAGGCACCAAACTATTTTTGTATTCCCAAAGAAAATGAGTTCCTATATTTTTACACTTTAATAATTCTAGTCTTAGTTTTGGTATATCTTCTATTTAGTCACAGATAATGCATACTGTCCAAATAGTGGGAAACACTCAGTTCATGTTTCTTTTTTCTTATCAGAAGGAAAGACTCGGTCATTTAAATGATAAAATTAAAGAGGACCATAACTAAGACAAAAACAGTCTGTGGCTTATCAGCTTGTGTTGGGAAAATTTTGTAAAGTTTTATTTATTATTTTTTTTTAATATTGTTGTAGTTGGTAGTTTTTGAGGGCTAAATGTTGTGGTGAGGTGATTTAGGTACAATGAAACTGGGCTCTTTTCCAGGATCTCCCGCAGTGACCATTTTCAGTGACCGTGGGCAAGTTCATGACAAGTAAAAAATGGGAGTAAAGCAAATTCCCCTTAGAAAGGAAAGCAGTGTGGCTGTATGTATAAATGTTTATATACTCATTTGTGATACTGCAGTAAAGAGTTCTGTCGACCACAAAATGGCATTGTTTATTGGAATGACTAAGACCGAATGATGAAGATGCTAACGCTATTTACTCTATCTGCATACTTGTTAGTGTGATATAAACACAACACTTCCCATCAAATAAACTCCTCCTGATATGAATCAAGCTCTTTTATAACAGTGTTCTACACTATTCATCAATCTGCCTTCCTGGCCTTGACTGCCAAATACAAAATGCTTGCTGATTTTCAGGATGTCACTTGACAGCAATCTGCTCTTGGTTTAGAGTAATAGGCTATCAGCAAAACACACACAAAAATAATTGCAAACATTTAGAACTAAATTCTGGGTTTATACTTTGTACCATAATGGCAATTCTGGTACATGCTTCTGCAGTCAATGGAGTTGCACTAGGTGTATGCACAGAATTTAGACCTTCATTTATTATTAGAAGTTAACTGAAATGTCATAAAGAGTCGCTGTGTGACACCATCAGTGTCACCAGCAGGCATAGCAGGGTCTGCTTCACTTGAGGATTTTTATCCATCCTTGTACATTGCATTACATTTATCTTTTTTTTTTTTTTTTTTTTTTTTCCCTGCTTAAAATGTAGAATACTTCGGGTAGGCAGTCCTTAGCAGTACAGGAAGTCTTCATTGCTAACCACGTATGCGTTAGCGTGGACTTGGATTCCAAGTGATCTATAAAGCCCATTGGAGAGAATAATCAATCCACTTTGTCAACATTTATGGTATTAAAGCTCAAGATTGGGGATTTTAGTACTGGGGCCACAACTCCTAAACACTCTGAAAAAAAAATAAAAAAATAAAATTACAAAACATTATTTCTTTAACAGAATTATATCTGAGAGTAAAACCAAAACTGAAACCTGCTTGGTTTCGTTGGCATGCTAGGATAATTAACCCATGTGTCAATCCCATGATTTGTTAAGGGGTTATGTCTAATGCTGTAAGCCAAGTGTTGAGCAATCACCTTCACATCATGTGAAAAGTCTCACAAAATGTGTTATGTGTAGGAGGTGCAAAAAGTCAAGGTTTGAAGTACAGAAGCAGCTGCAAACATCACACTTTCCTAGGTGTTTCAAGATGATAGAAAACCTGGTGTGCTTTAAGATTGTTGCCTGCAAGGGTACTGTATCTGGGAAGGTCTATTGATGTTTATAGCAGGCGCGTTTAAATGTATATCTTAAAAAAAATAATTGATGAACAAATGTGAGAATCATTGTTCATTTTGTGCTCAAGTTGAAAGAAAAATAATGCTAGAAAAATGATTTCATTATTTTGGAAGGTATTTCTTTTTATTTGAATGAAATGATGACTCTTTTGATGTCAGAGATGGTAGATTCTCCTCTGGAACAAATGTCCATGTAAAATGAAAAGGGTGGTCTTTTGCTTTTGTTAGCAAAACAGGACGTAGAAGATGCACACAATTTCAAAATTTCACAGTGACTGATTGTGGGCAAATTGCTGACACTCCCTGAGCCTATTTTACTTGACTAGGAGTAAAATATTAACTTTCCATGTCTACTATTGCCAACCTCATCAGCTGAAAAAGCTGTTTATTATTATGTGTGTAGTAAGATGGGACCATACCCTCTGTTGGAGCAGCAAAATGCTAGGAAGAAAGAAAATAAATGGTTATAAAAAATAATAATAAAACCCAAAGAATAAGGTTTATTTTAGTCTTTAAAACCCATGTTTTACTCTTTTCTTATTCTCCTACTACACAAGACAGTAGTTCTCTGTACCTCAATTTCCAATCTGCAAAATGGGCTTAGTATTACCTGTTTTGTACAGCAGGTTGTATGGGCTAGCCAATGAACTCTTGAATTTATTAATGAGCTTTTGAATAGAAGTGATCTCTGTGCAATAAGTGCAGAATTGTTACAGCATAACTGCAGTCCTACATCTCAGTCTGTCTGAGGATTGAAAAGAAAGAAAAGAAAAAAAGAAAAAAACAGCTTAGCATTTCAAACATTTGCTGAAAAGAGAGGGCACTGAATGATCAGGGAGATGCCTGATTTTTAGCAAGAAGCTAGTGTTAAAGCATCAAAGTTGCTCTTTGCATGCATGGAAACTGATCTTCTGATACAGGCTTGGAAAAAGTTGAAATAATCCCTATATAGTATAAATTGGTGACAAAGGAAAAAAATCAAGGACATCCATATCAGTACTGTAGTTGTTTTCTTACATCAATGCAAACAAAAACGGTTAAGCCTTTTGTAGTCTGTCCGTGCCTGTCATTTCCCAATGGTACGGGCACCTACAGGGTTTGATTTTAAAGCGCCATTTAAGTGGGAATTATCAGTTGGTCTAAGGTCGTAGTAGTTTTTGTTTTTATTTTTCTCCTTGGGGGAAGCAGAACATAGATG